TTTTTTTTTTTTTTTTTTTTTTTGGATGTCGACGCATGTCGTATTTTTTATTCTCGGCAGTTTTTGCCCAAATGCCACGGCTGAGCGTTTTTTTTTCCCCCCCCCACCTTTTGGCTGACACACTGCCAGCCATTTTGGTCCAGTAGAAGTTGTGTAGAACTGCTCATCGGAAGTCGTCGGGATGTTGCTTTTTTTTTTTTTTTCCCCACTGGATGTCGCGTTTCGAATCTTTCGATTCTCGGCGTCGCCTGAGAAAGGTAGTGGTGACCGTGGCGGTTTAATACGTTGGCCAGTCTCTTCTGAAGAAGTTCATTAAACTCTCTTCACTCCCACAATATCCAACATGCCCGTGCTTTTTTTGGGCGCTTTTGCATAGCTTTGCGAAAGATTCGCACTGAGGAATCTTTTCATTGAGGTTTTTTTTTTTTTTTTGTTTAATAATGGCAAGCCTATCTTTATTCAGGGGAAGATGGTAGATCTTTTTATCAATTTTTTATTTTATTTTTTCGGGGGAAACTGCTCCCCGGACACCTTTGTAGTTTGAAATATATGCAAGGAAAATGAGCAATAGTGAATTCCAGAAACCAAGCAGCATCATACACACGAAACCAGATAGTTGTGACCTCGAACTTAAAGCAGATTTGCAACTCGAGTTCCACCAAATAAGAGCACAGCAAAAGCTCACAAGTGACAATGTTGGAATAGTCACATCATCATCAACAAAGAACCAATGTTGATCTCCTATCTGGCGCCCTGCGCTCAGACTACAAATGGCAGATCCTATCTAGCCTATCTACAATGCCGCTGGTGACGTCAACAGCTCCCCGAAGTACGAGCAGATCTCGGCCAATGCCGTTCGCCTCAAGCACCAGGTATGTCTCTCGTATCACTCACAACCTCGATCCCTCATTCACAGATGCCACGTGCACCCAAGGACCACCATGCGCCCCATCCAGCTTAGCGCAGGCTCGGCGATGGCTGCCTACTCTTCCTGCTCGCCCATGAGCGCATGGGCGCTGGTCAGCTATTAGCACAGCGGCGCTTGCGCAGCATGCAGCCAGTGCCCGAATGCCAAATGCGGGGGCAGGCACTTTCCTATATGGAAGTGGCCTGCCTGCTCCGTGCGGTCTGGCTGCACTGGGCCCCTGCCCAGAAGCTTCCGGTAGGCCCCAAGTGGCTGAGCCCCAGTCCAAGGGAATCAGGCCCAGGGCCTAGGGCGGTTACCCGTGTTCAACTGCCCACAGCCTGTGTTCGGTCCATGTTGTCTGGCCCAGGGCCTGCCTCAGATACATTTGATAAAGGCAGCCTGGGCCTGGGCGCTCTCAACCAACTGGCGCTGTGCAACTGCCTGAATTTTCCCCGGTTGCGTGGTAGTCCAAAATAGGCCTCTCGTCCTTGGTCGGCCTGCCTTCACTTAGAGCGGCCAACAGTGCTGGAAACAGGGCCCGATTGGGCTCGTCGAGGCCTTGAGCCTCGCGTATAGGCAAGAAAAGACAAAAAAAGGCGCCGATGTCATTGTTTGAGTTTCAAAATGTGCGGGGGGGGGGAAACTGCAGCTGTTTTGTTTTTACGTGGCGCGAATGCAGATTTAGTGGCGTCTTTTTTTCCGCTGTTTATTAGAGCATACTCACCACTAGGCCCTCAAAACCTCGCAAAATCACAAAACGACCGGCCAGATCGAGTCCTTGTAAAGGAGGGACTAGATCTGGCCGCTCATTTTGCGCTTTTTTGCGATTTTGAGGGCCTAGTGCAAGGAATATGAGCAAGAGAGCGATCGACAGAAAACGAAGTTGCAAAATCACGAAGTAGCTCAGGTAGTCATGTACCAGCAGAGAGCTCAATGCACCCAGATACCATACAAATAAGAAGAGCAAGACAATGAACTCGAACGTCAATGTCGCCACTCTCTGGTCACACCAACACTGTATCCAATGTCGCACTCACTGTCTGGCGCCCAGCGCCCAGCCTACCCTTTTTTTTTTTTTTTTTTTTAGCGCCCAGCACTCTACTCGGCCTATCTAGCCTATCTATGTTCTTGCAACGGAGTCACTCTGAAGTTGAAGACCAATGTACGTGACGTCAACACCAATGCCGACAACCATCATCCACCGGGTATGTTGTCTCTTCGCCCCTCATCACCCCTTGGATCCCCACCTCATGCGCCTCCTACCCGAAGACCACCTTCGCCATCACCTGCGTTGCGCCCCCTGCAGCCCGGCTATGGCTGCTGTGCGCCCGCTGCCTCAGCAGCGCCCGTGCGCGCATCCGACGGGCAGCGCCAATGCAGATGAGAGCGCAGCAACGCACCAGCATGTCCGCATTGCCTGCCGAGGCCAGAATGCCCCTGCCAGAGTCCCACACTTTCCTTTACGGAAAGTGTTGTCGCTGCTGGCTGCCCTGGCCAGGCGTGTGGGGGGCCCAGTAGCTTCAGTTGGGCCCCACGTGTCTGCGCCCAGGCCCGGTACTCGATACTGGTATGTGCCTCGTGCAGTTAGGCGCACAATCAGGCAGCCACGCAGCCTCCAAGTGTTCCCCGCTTTCTCATTGGATCATGGCTCATGTGTGACGACGATGCTGCTTTCTCATTCGTATGTGGCCATGGTGTGTCGACCGCCTCACACTGTGTGCCCAGGGCGCAACCACCCGGCCCTGGGCTCAACTGTACAGCGCAGCCCTTGTTGCTGGAAAGAGCCCAGAGGCTTGCGTTTCCCTGTAACCAGCTGGCGTGCTGCAACAGTCTGAGTACCCACATTTGGAAAATGTAAGGAAAAAAAAAAAAAAAAGGGAAATAGGCCTCTTGTGGATAGTCAGGCCCGCCTTCACTTAGGGCGGGCACAATGCTTGCTGGGGCCCACAGCCGAGAATACTTGCATGTCCGTCTGTTAGGGCCACATGAGGACTCAGTCCTCGCACTACGGTAGTGTGAGTGTGCCCTTAGAGAACTGCTTAAGTTGCCTATCAAAAATGCTGGGTATGACCCAGGAGCCGTTGCCCTTTTTTTTCTTTTTCTTTTTCTTTTCTCTTTTTTTTTTCAATGGCATGCCTATTCTATTCGGGGGAAGATGGGAGCCTGGTTGCCATATGCATGCTGGTCAGGAGAGTTCATGGCACTTGTAATTCGAGCTTCTCTCGAGTGGGGATCTCATTGCCCACCCCTTTAAACCCCTTTGAACCCCCTTTAAACCCCTTCACAGAGAGAGAGAGAGAGAGAGAGAGAGAGAGAGAGAGAGAGAGAGAGGTTTGAATCATACTTGCGGCGCATCTCATGCGCGGGGGTGCCGCACGCGCATGCACACACGCACAAGTGATGCGGCACATTAAAAAAGTAGAAAAATAAGAACGTCCTAGTTGTGTCCAGCCTCTTTTCGGAAGGATCTCTACAGCATATTAGCAAGGACCCGACGTCATGCAGAGATACACTTCAAACTTGTACTCCATGAGGGTGGGCAGAGAATATATAGTCTGGATTCGAATTCAGGTCTGTGCATCTCGGTTATGTTCTCTGTTTTCCCGCTTTCTTTTCGTTTCTCGTTTTTCTTTTCTTAGGAATACGTGCAGTGGCCCTGAGGGCCTCTACTTACCAAATGCACAAAAGAGTTGAAACTTGAAAAGACAAAACATATCGTGGCGTATTATTCCACGTTCTGCAGAAGATTCATTCTAATTTTGCACATCTCGTGAGTAGTGCAGCCAAGCCTTAAGAGTCACGTGCAGAGACCAACAGGGCCGCTACGCAAGCAACCCATAACTGAAACACAGACCTGAATTCGGATCTTGAGCATATAT